AATTAAAATGGTCTTGACAGAAGCAGCATTCAGCTTCTGTTCACCTCAAATCTGGAATAAACCACAAAAACAGCTGAAACACTGAGTTCCTTTAAATCAAGGATAAAGACCCACCTGTTTAGAGTTGCTTTTGAGCCACAATAATTGTAACATTGACCAACGTATTTGATGTATATTGATGATTTTTAACAAAAAGCAATGTTTATTGGTTTTCAAAAGTGTTTACTGTATAATTTATTTATTATGTCTTTTTGTGTTTGTTTGAACTGCTTGAATGTGGTAAACAATCAAACCTGATTGATTCATTGATTGGTAGAAAGCCTGAAAAGGAAAGAATCAGTTGTGGTCCAGTGAAAATATGAATTTCAACCTGATTGAAATGTCATTTTGGAACGAAGTTATTAGCATTTGAGGTTCTACAAGCAGTGATTGTGTCTTCCTTTCCAACTATAAAATGTACAAAGATGCAAATGGGGGGGAGGGGGAGGAGATGTTCTAGTAGGGGTTACGGATCCATGTCAACAGGAATGACTGAGAGGAAAATCTCTTTAGGTCACTGGTGATTTAGTGACCCTGATGCTTAAAAAAAACTCCGCAGCCTGCCAGATGTGGCTGATGGCTGCAACATGTTGCGGGACTTGTATGGTGGCGGACGAGAGATGTTAACATGATGGCAGAGATAATGACATGCAGACTCAACAGATTTCTCTCTGTGAGTCTTTTCAGAGGCAGATACTGACAGCAGGCATGTGGTGGTGGGAGTACTCTCACTCTCTGCCCTACTTTCTGACTGATGAAGCAGCATAAAACCAGGAGAGAGAATACTCCACACTGATGGATGGATGGATGGATGGATGGATGCCAGAGATGTCTGTAAAGCTGGGTGGATGTTGGATTTAGAAATAATAACTGAACACGCTTTTTGACGCGCTGCTCTCAGATTGAAACACTTGTCATGCCAGAAAGAATAAAGTATTAAACTTCCGTTCCGTTTATGTTTCAAATTAAAAGTTTTAATTTGATGACTGTCGAACGAGGTAGCCAATTTATACATTTCTGAGAACATCTCGCTTTGCTTTGGAATAATTTTGAAACTAAATACCTAGATAAGTATCTTGATATTATAAAACACAAAGATTGGACAGAAAAGTGAAATGTTAGAACAAAATAGTCAGTACACATAGTGTGGAGAACATTTGACTACAAGAAGTAACCCTTTAGGGGGAAAAAAAGAAAAGTAATAAAGAGTTAGTTGACAAATAAATTAAATGAGATAAAAGATGTGTAATTAAATACATAAAAATAGTAGATTATAATAGTTTGAGTTAGGAGTAATTATCTGTACTCCAGTTGTATAAATTTATATTGTAGATTTATAATTTTGTAGATTATTTTTGTGTTTTTATCTGTGAGTGATTTTGTAATTACTCAGACTGGCGTTCAAGCCTGTATTTCTATTAATTAGGATGATTTTTTTCTCTCAATATTTAAAATGAGAATTTTACATCCAACAAATAAAATGACTGTATAGAGATATTTTTACTAACACAATAAATAAATGAAATATTTGTGATTGTTTCAAATTATATAGAAACACTACTTTCTTAAAAAGTAAAAAAAAAAATGCTTTAGCTTTTATTTAATTTTGTGACCGGATTGGGTCTTATTTTGAAAGGGCTTTACTCCTTTTCCGGTCTGAACGTAGCAGCTTGACGTACGGAGCTCGCTTGCCAGTTGGTCCAGGGGCTCGTGAGTGTAGCTCTCCCCGCCGTCCTGCCGCATATAAAGGCGGTCAACGGTCGGAGACCTCCGCGTTAAGGCAACTCCAAAGGAGAACGTCGGGTTGTTTTATTCCCGCAGACATTTCAGTTCCCGCTTCCTTCTCACCACCCGCATCCGCGTCCCGTCTCAGACTGGGGAGAAAAGAGGGGGGTCCATCTCGGAGTGACCAGCATGGACCCCCAAGCGAAGAGCCGCATTGGTCCGGCGGCGATGGCGGCGGGAGGGAGCTTCGGCGGTCGCCCGGCCTCTCTCGGAGCCGACGGGGGTGACTCAGAGTCCGGAGCGGGCTCCGAGGAGGCTGCCATGGGCTGCAGCGACACATTCAGCAGTCTGCCGGACATGGAGCAGGAGTCTCTGGAGGAGAAATTACGCGGACTGGCGTTCAGAAAGCAGACCTCGTATCGGTGAGTGGAGAGCAGAGGGAGGATGCTGTGGCAGGACGTGGCTCATAGCAGGATGTGTTTAGGGATTTATGCGTTTTTCCTGGATTTAATTTTTTTTTTTGTACGTACCTGCATGCAAGGAATTCATAGAGCATTCCCGTGTCAGAAATCTGCTTTACAGCCAACAACACAGCCTCACCTTTTGTTTGTTTTTTTTAAACTATTTATAGG